AAGAAAGGTGACGTGTGATTTAAAATGCTGTACAGAACTGGTAAGTAACATGTATGTACAAATACTTAAGCAGTGATAGCAGTAGAATTTTGTAAGCACTTTGTCTGTTAAAGAAAATCTAGTTTTACATGAGATTTTTTAAAATAAATTCAATTGAAATCAACTTTCCAAGTTCTCAGAAAGCTTTCCACTGAATCGCACTCTGCTTTTCCTGCAGTCTTTTCCTCAGCTTTACTGATTATCAAGTAACCCCCAAAACATTTGTCAGGCTTCTGGGAAGGGAAAATAAACCCCTAAAGTGTCAATTATAAAACCCCAAACTTGGACTTCTGAACTTTCCCAACTGCTGCCCTACTCAAGTCACTCATTAGGGAGGAAACACAAACACTTGTCAGGTCCAGTGAAGACACCAAATTTCTGAAGGCCGGTGAGGAAGACAAAATGCTATGAAGAACACTGAAGTGATTTACAACCCAGACCAAATTTATTTATTGCAGATTACTTTAACTAATCCTTCTCCTGGAGAAGTTATCTCTGCCTTCAGCATCGGGTGTAGATGACAGAAGTATTACCACTACACATCAAAACATTGCTATAATTTCTCTCACAGATCCATACCAGTCACAACAGGTTGCTGTGATTTTTGCAGATAAAAACCTGCAAGAAAACTGTTTTGTTTTTTTTTTCTTTTTGGCCAGCTGAAGTAAAAACAAGTGACAGCCAGAATGAGCAGACACTCCTGGCAATTTCAATGAGAGGCTCTTATTACAAGTCACAAGAGTAGGGGTCATCTCCTCTGAGGCCGGTACATTTAAATGCCTCCCTCTGGGTTACACCATTTCAGTAAAATGTATTTGTATGTTTAGAACTTCAGAAAAATTAATAAATTGAGTCAGAAAACAGGGTCCCCCGGTTTTTTTGATCATAAATTTTTGCAAGTTAAAAATTCATTATTGACAATTTAGAAGAAGCCTGAATTGCAGCTGGTCTGTGTAAAAATCAAAAGATGCTTATTAGCATTTAAGGACCACACCTTGAAGAGCTGCATGTAAAACAATGTCACTTCATCACTCTGCTTTGACATTCCCAAAGAGAAGCAACACTGCTGATGGACTCAGAGCACAGGTAATTCACCAGCTTGGTCCTTCTCTGAGGTGTAGCTGCTAAAATGAGATTGTTCAACCCGGAGAAGAAAAGGTTCCAGGGAGACCTTATTGCAGCCTTTCAGTATTTGAAGGGGTCTATAAGAAACATGGGGACAAACTTTTCATCAGGGCCTGTTGTGACAGGACAAGGAGCAGCAGTTTTAAACTAAAAGGGGGTTGATTTAGTTTACATATCAGGAAGAAGTGTTTTACAACAAAAGCGGTAAACTACTGGCACAGGTTGCCCAGAGAGGCAGTGGCTGTCCCATCCCTGGAAACATTCAAGGCCTGGTCCAGTGGAAGGTATCCCTGCTTACTGCAGGGGGATTGGAGTAGATGAGCTTTAAAGGTCCCTTTCAACTTGAACCATTCTATGATTCTGTGAAAAATTGGAACAGCCATTGCAGCCCTGAGGTTGGACTGCAGTCCGAGTGAGGGCAACAGTGGGAGAAAGCCAGGAAATTTTTGCTGGGACAGGACACTCCCAAGAGGAAGGAGACAAGCTCTATGCTCAGGAGTCCAAATAAGAGCTGGGTATAACTTCCTGAAAACAGATTTTCAATACATTCCACTCATTTCTCCTGCTTTTGAATTGTCCACTGTCACTTCAAGTGTATTCCTTACTTGATCCATAACTGGCTTGCCAGACCAACACATAGTTCCGTGCTTCTGGGCACAGATTTTTCAGGATTCCAACTTTGTCTAAGCAGCATGATGTATGCTGCTAAATACAGGAGAGATTACAAATACAGGCTTTGTATATCAACCAACATACTGTTCTCCTTTTTGAAAACAATTCAGCCAAAATTACATATATGGAAAAAAACAGAGTTACTCAGGATGATTTATTAATTGTACATAACACGCCTGAAGGCAAACTGGGAATGGAATTCAGATGGACGGACACAGAGGAGGATTAAGGCGATAATGCATGGTGCAACTTTTTAGTCACAAACACTCTCATCACATGAAATTATTTTCATAGATGATATTTATACCAGAGCAGGAACTGCCCCATGATTCCTCTCTTAAGCACTGCGGAAACTGAAAGGCTGGTGTGATAAAACTTTCTGCAAATCTCTTTCAAAATGTCAAAATTTAACAACTAAGCACCTTATTCCTAAGTCTGGTCATATAGATGCTCAAGTCTTTTCATTGGGAAACCTGCTCCTTGCTTAAGTTCTGTTACATCAGGGCTAGATCAGCCCCTTTCCATATTAAAAAGGAAAACAAGGAAGAAGCTAGGGAAGTGTGGAAAGCTCCACAAGAGACCATTCTTGTTACCTGAAAATAAATGTCTGGTTTTGTTTTTTTTTCAAAGAGATTTAAAACTTTCTGTCCTAGGGCTTAATTTAGTTCATGATTTATGAGAACTGGGAAGAAGTGCTCTGGATTGGTCTGGCTTATCCATTAAGTGGCTGTGTTGATACTGCATTTTCCCTGCATTGGCTGTTGCTGCTGGAATAAACAGGCCACACTCTGGGCCATCAAGACAACTCTCGTGTTTGCTCAAGGACAAGAAAATCCTCTCTCTCAAAGGGGAAGGACCAAGCAGAGGAGCAAGGATTGGTGTGAGAGCCACAAATGGCTTGGAAAGGATTTTTAATTTGTAAATAGCAGGAAATCCCAGTCACATTCCCAAATGCACAAGCCATCCTGGAAGTCCTGCATCAAAGCCCCTCACCCCTCTCAGCTGGGGTAGCACCAACCTGCGAGCCTCAGAAGGGCCAGATCAGCACAGCAAACTCCACTTCCAAACAACCTTTCTCCAACAGGAATAAGGACAGACCCAAGAGGAGTTTCATACCAGTAATTAAACCTGAAAGGAGATCCACACTCTTTGATCCTCCCCGGTTCATGTGCTGCACTGTTTCCTTGCAATTACCCTATTTTGGTGAGGCAGAGGTGGGAGAAAGGCTACAGATGCTGTCAGACAAAGAGCTGGTCTCCTTTACTGCTGCAGATGGTGGAAGCAGAATCCTCTTTCTTTTCACACTATCAATTAAGCAATGTTGCCAAACCCACATCAGCTTCTCAGTCAAACATTTCATTTCTCAGCAGTCTGTGTGAAGTTTGAAAGCTACAGTATGTTCTGCCAGCGGCCTCCAGAAAGCTGCTTTGCATTGTTTTGCTTAAATGGCTACAAAAGTGCTGTCAAAGAGACACTGTCAACTGCAGCTTTTGTGTTTATGTCTTTTTACTTAGGGAAAAAAAAAAAAAAGGAAAAAGAAACAAAACCTTTCGAAGTTGAAAGAACTGATTTCTGCTTGTTTTATCACTCCTTTTTACATTCCTTTGGCAGACATTGGATTTTCCTCTCTGCTATTCACAGTGCAAGCATATTCAATATTGAATAGACCTTTTTGACAGTTTTGAACCTGTTCCATAAGATTCCAAATGCACTGATTCATGGGCACTTGCAAAGATCCTACAACATAAAAAAAAAAAAGAGTCTACCCCGACTCAAGAATTGTTTTGCATCAGGATAATTTAAAACTTCTGCTCCTTCATCTGTGTGATATCTCAGAGCCAGCAAGAACACTTTCATAACTGATTTGTCTGTCTTACACACCAAGAGGGATACAACAACAAATACTCACTGTCTAGAAGTCAAGAAAATCTAATTATCTAATATTATAAAGGTTCTTCTTTTGTCTTCTAACTCCAAAATGGGGGCAAAATGCTGGTCTTGGAAAGAACAAAATATGAGTCTCATATTTTAATGAGTGCCAGTGAGAAGCCAGCACTAAACACGTCCAAACACACAGGCTGCATTTCTGTTCTATGGTGTAGATTTTTTATTCGCTGCACACTCTCACAGTCTGAGCTTCCCAGCAGCCTGGGAATATTTTCTTCCTTGAGTATCCCCTCCACTCCCCTAATGCTGCTCCTCTGAAAACCAACACCATGGCAGCAACATTGCTCATGATTTAAAACTGCTCCTGTTTTCATACCTGGGGGGTAATTCCAGCCTGATCTTCACTTTGGAGAAGCAGATGTGAATCTGTGTAAATTAATAAATGACAGTGGAGACGATCACACTAATGTGTTACAAGTCTAAATGTGGAAGCAGCTTTTCTCAGCTGCTTCCAAACGCAGTGGTGGGTACATTTTCTATTCCATGGCCAGCATAAAGGAAATAAATAAAGCAGAGATTCCCAATTTGTTGTTCACGGATCCACTGGAGTCTGCTGACTTCCAATTCCCACATAAGCAGTGAAATCTACGGTCACTGAGCTTGGATTCAACACATAAGAGCCAACATGTCCTACTGGAAATTTTTTTGGTAGCCCACAAAGAAAAAAAGGATGAAGCCTACTGAATGCTAAAGCACATACAAATAGAGCATTAGGTCTCTCACATATGTCCTCCCAGGAAAAAAATCCCACAGAAAGCACTAGGAATTAAATCTATAGAAATGTAATACAGCTCTATGGAATTTCCTCTGAAGGCCTATAGAATTTACTACAGCAGGGAGTCCTTTTCAGAGCCCCTTTTTTCAGACAACTTGCAGAAGGATATAATTCTAATGAATGGGGTTTTTTTTAAAAAAAAGTAATAGATCGACAATAATCTTCTATTAAATTATTTTCCATAGGAGTATTGACAGCAATAGCCATTAACATTATTTTATAAAAGTGGAGAGATATATTGATCAGTGGATCCATTCTGTCCTGACACAGAGAACTCGGGCGATTTATGTTGCCATTCATTGTCAGGCAAAGGGTTTTGTTCCTTTTTTTTTAAAAAAAAAACATCTGGTGTCCCTTGAATAATTACTTTAATTAAAATAAGAGACTATTTTATATGCTTTCCTTGACAAGAACTTTGCCTTCGTGCTCTCTGGCAAATCCACTATTGCTGCTGCGTAAATACAGCAACACTTATTGGCCATTTGATACTTGCCATGGGTTTTCTGTGATTTAAGATGCAATGTTCCTCTGGGATTCCCAGCTCTTGGACTTTGTCTGAGCCTCCCCAGATCACATGGAAAGGAGAAGCTGGAATAGCAGGGCTTGGTGATGAACAAGGGATTGGTTCCAAGGGAAGGGACAGCACAGCTCCTTGCACAGTGAGGGAAGGACAGGGAGCCAAACTGGAAAAGGAGAGGGAATCACAGAATTATGGAATCATTTGGACTGGAAAAGCACTCTCAGACCACTGAGTCCAACCATTCCCTCAGCATGGCCAAGGCCACCACTAACCTCTGTCCCCAAGTGCCACATCCACAGGCTTTTACATCCTACCAGGGTGGGGACTCCACCACTGCCCTGGGCAGCTGTGCCAGACCTGGACAAACCTTACAGTGAAGTAATTTCCCCAAAATCCAATCTAAACCTCCCCTGGCACAACCCGAGGCAGTTTCCTCCTGTCCTGTCTCTTGTTCCCTGGGAGCAGAGCCTGACCCACACCTGGCTCCATCCTCCTGCCAAGTTTCCTTGCCCTCAGGGGTGGGTGAAAAAAGGAATTGGGAAAAGGTGAGGATACAGGCTCCAGGAACTCCTACAGGCTCCAGGAACTCCTCCAGCCCCAGCCTTTTTCCCTTCCAGTTATGAATGATGGAGGAAAAATTGTAATGAAAACAACCTTTCACGCCTTGCAGTGTAGGGTTTTGTGAACTGATGAAAACATCCCGCAGAAAACATTGAGTATATTTGTTTTGCCTGTTTTCTCTCGATCCTCATCAGTTTTATCCTTATCGTCATCTCTAATCCTTCCCACAGTGAGGTGGCAGAGTCAGTTTTGTAAGGATCCATCAGGGAAAAGCAAAAACCTGGGAAAGAAAAGCTGTTTCTGCCTTTGATGATACAAATATATCTGGAAAGAATTTTCTTTTTATTTTATTTCTTGTTGTTTCCACAAGTGTCCTTCATTTCATCTTCCTTTCCCTCACTTACCTAAATATTGTCTAACTGCAGGGAAGGAAAATATTGAATTCCACCAAAATTGGGGAGTTGACTTCACAGGAGCATGAACTTGGTATTTTATTTTCTTGAAAGAAAAATGTCTGTGCTCTCCATGCTAAATCCAGGGAAGTCAGTGGCCAAAATCCTAATGCCTTACTTCCCTGGGAGCAGGATTCAGCTCAGCAGGGATGGACAGTAGCTAAGCTGCCACCTCCCATTCCCTGGAGATCTTCCCAGGGCAGCAGTAATCAAAATAATTCATTTGCAGTTCTAAGCCTTTGATGCATGACTGCTGAGAAAGAAGATTTGCAAAAGCTGTGACAAACTTACACCTCAGCTTTCAGAAAAGAAGAAAAAAAAATCTGTTACTGGAAAATTTGCCAATTTTTTCCTTCTAGCCCTTAATGCACAGCAATCCATTTGACCGTATAATTATTACTTAAAGGAAAGGAGTTGGTAAAAGAAGAGTAATTTATGCAGATGAACAAGGAAACAGATGAGAAATACAGAAGAAATATTAGAAGGGAAACACAAAATAACACAGAAACATTGCTGTGAACTGCTGTCAGACCTAAATCAAAGTCAGAAAGGAACACAGATTATGCCACCATCAGTTTTTGTTGGAGGAGGAAGAATCTTGGCAATCAAGATTATCTGATAATTACCTTTCTTAATGCATTAAATTCACTCAGCTTCACCTTCAGGCATTTAGCTGAAGAAAATAATGACACACATCCTCATGTTTAACGGTTAAACTATTTCCAAGAAATCTATTACATGTGGTGTCATCCAGAAACCCACGCAATAAAGCATCTTTAAAAGAAGCACCGATAGAAAAGGATGGGGTTTGGAAACATAAATAGCAGTTGTTTGCATCAAAGTATTTTAATGTACAGGCTTTATTAATACTAATGAAAGTTTGATTGTCTTTCCTAATTAGCTCCCCACCCTCCTTTGTCAGGATCAGCTGCAGAACAAACCTTCTTCTGCCAGCATCTCAGGATGCATTAGACCTCATTAAACATCATTTTTAAATGAACATTTCATTTAAAAGAGATTAATTTTTAAAGTATGCCAGTGCTTGAAAACGAATCGGTAACATTATACAGCTGCTGAAGAAATACCTCCACCTCCTAATTCACCAGTATTCATGGACAGATAAGTCCACGTGCTGCTACTAACGAGGTTTGGAGAGTCTGTCTGATAGTCTACTGGCTCACAAAGGGACTTTGCCAAGTGCCCGACCCCTTTCCCATAGGATGTGCAAACCAGCCTTGGGCAGTAGAACACACATCATCTTCCTAGTCATAGAAACACGGGGAAGTATAAATTTTACCTGAGTCTGCTTTTAATCCCTTCCTACAGACAAGGACATGTCCCTCACAGGCAGCACCTCCAAGACAAATTCCTGGTGGTTTGACCCTGATCTCAGGGGAGCAGAGGCTCAATCCAGCACATATTCCCCATGGTGGAGACTCCTTCATAGCACACTCCTTTCCCAGACCCTATCCACCACTATTTCCAAAGGAATTAAGGAGTTTCACCTTGAAATACTTTCCAGGGTGTTGTTGGAATATTCTGGGTGTCTGAATTAGTCACACCAGGCAGGAACCAGCTATTGCTCACTACCATCATTGTGGAGTCAGCATGGGACAAGGAAAATGACCCACAGCTGCTTTGTAAATACAGAATGAAACATCATTTTTAGGTAAAGTTTGGGTTGGTCTTACACAAACTGAGCATTTTTTTTTTTAATGAACAATTTCCGCTGAAAAAATGGATATTTCTACATGAGAACAAGTGAGGTTTATGTCTTCAGCATGTACACATTTGTGTGCTTCAAGAAGAACTTCAGAAGATGGTTCTTCCCACCTGGATGCCCTTTATCTGATGACAGGTTTCCCCTACAGTGTAAATTGGACGTTTCTGACACCAAAAGACCAAGAGATTTAAGGTAATTCTTCTCAAACAAGTGGGCTGTGGACTCTGTCATGTCTCCAGCTAATCCACTGAAACACAGAGATGGAAAACTATCAGTCACATCATGTGAAGAACTGCTTTAATAGTGCATAATGAAATGGAATTTCTTACAGGATTTGGGAAAAGAAATTAGAGATTACTAGGACAGCTTATTTCCTTCTGTGCTAATATGACTCTGGTGACTTCCACAGGACTCCTGCCTGTCATCGACCTTAATTTAAGTCAACTCTTCAGCAAAGTCTGGGAGTACATATGAAAATTTTATAACTCTGCTGAAGTCTCAGTGGAGTTGATGAGATTTGGGCATTATCTTTGGGACCACAAATACTAAAATGGAAGCTGAATTGGCTTTCACTTGTTATCATTTGAAAGTGTTCCTGTTATTTATTTCCAATGTGGATTGCTTAATTAGAAACACAGGTGCATTCACCGGGCTGTATTTTGCTGCTCAACTTAAAAAGCCATTTTTAAACTACTGATACAAAGCAAAACAAATACTTGCTGTTTAATTGGTTTTTACTAAGAGTAATTTTAAATTAGTAAATTTGGGGGGGAATTAATTAATTTTAATTGTACAATACAAATATCTATCCGTTAAGCAAGCACCCACAAAATTAATAGGGGAAAGGAATAAAGGTATTTTCAGTTATTAAATATTACTAAAAGTGATGGAATGGACAGCTTCTGTGTCAGTTACTAATGATTGGCCATTATAAATAAGATTTTCCCTTCTTTTATATGATATTATTTTGGTTATTTGTTATGCAGACTAACTAAAATACTTTATTTATGACCGAGAGAGTAATTCTACTCTACCCAAGTCAAGCCTCCAATGTATTTCTCCAGGGTCAACACCTACACGGTTACAAATGCCCAGTAAAGTGGAGGTGAGCAGTGCTGCAGGCACATGTCACAAACATTTTGTGCTCCACTTGGAAAAGCCCATCGTGGCCTAAGAGAGCCTGTTCATCAGCACTTGGGAATCAGCTATAGGAATGCCCCAGTAGCTTTCCTTGAGCTCTTATGGTGGTGTTGGAGAACAAAAGTAGTTTTTATCATGCAGTTGCTTGCAGCTGATGATCACATATTATCAGCATATGTGGTATTATCCCTGTTCTGTGCAGGACTCCTGGAGAATGCTGTTAAGTTGGTCCTTCAGCCCTCTCAGGTGAAACAACCACATTTAAATCCTGATTCTCTGCACATTAGTTACTTCAGCAGATTCCCTGGAGTTTACTGCAGGAGAAAGGCAACCCAGATTTGGTCATTAAATTTAGATTCTTTCTGCTCATCTTATTTACACAGCCAAAAAAGGTATTTGTATCATTTTTCTTTTCAACGGATGGAATGAAATCAGCTGCATAGCAAAGTGTCCTTGATCATGAACTATATAAAACAATGCATTTATTTGGAGTTCCAAATACACAAAAGGAGTAAGACGGTGAGTGAAAAATAAACCTGCCAAAAAAGGAAGTGTCCGATTTTCCAGGCATAGTACACATCATATTCCTAAAATGGCTGGAGCAGTCTGAAAATATTGTTCCTGAGTATCCTGAGTCCCTCTGACAGATGTATCTTAATTGTTTACTGACTGAGGTTTTAGGTACCTGCATGGCAGGCAGTGAGCAGGGGCAGGAGGGTTCATTTCATGTAACTGCTTAATCTGTAATGGAAACCCTGCAGAGACACAGAGAGCATCCAGTCTAATGTCTGCATTCCCCTCTTCCCAACAGCCATATATAAAATTTAACCTCTAGACAGCAATCCATTACACTGAAGTTAAACATGAGGATGGTCATATTTGAGACCAGAGGTTCATCTCAGGCAGAGTCCTCTCTTTTAGAGTGGCCCAACCACTGCTCCACTCACTATTTGCAAATTGAGGATTTTTTTTAGCAAGAGGAGACTTTTATGGGTTTATTAATCCCTCACTGGGCTTCCTTTAGATGAGAAGATGCATTTCTGCCTCTTTGAGGCTACAGGAAGCAATAGGAACATTCTGGTGTCATTCTCCACCTTGAATCCAGATTTTAAAGCTGAAAAAGACCTTTAGGACCACCAAGTCCAACTGTCAACCCAGCACTACCACCATGGTCACCACTAAACTATGTCCTTTAGAGCCATATCTACACGTCTTTTGAACAATTCCAGGAATGGTGACTCCACCTTTTCCTCTTCCAGGTCTTCCAGGTTTCTTCATCTCCAAGACTGCTCATTAATCAGATTGGCAGCAGTGGGTCTCTCATTTGCATACAAGTCTAGGGACAAAGGAGGTGGCCCTGTGTTCCAGGCACTGAGGGCAATGGAATCGACCTCACAAGGAAATGTTCTCTCCAGGAGATACTCAGCTTGAGAGGACTCTGCCTTTCCTCCCTGCACTGCAGGTGGGCATCCACAGCTCACGAGCTCAGACACCTCCCTCCCACTACAAGCCTGGCACCAGCTGGGCAGGGGGAAACCCTCACATTTTGGTGCCTGTGCCCTACAGTTTGTTCCGGTTTTATATGACACCACCAATGGCTACCAAAAAAAATCCCAATCCAAAACAAAGGATCCCAGTCCTGGCTCTCTGGCTAAGGGTCCAGAGCAATTTCAAAGGATGTAGGGAATTATGAAATGAATTTAGGTGTCTACCAGGTCAGGCAGTCCTGGGCAGCTGACTGGACTGGTTTGTAATCTGAGACCCTGGGCAGAATGGATTCAAGCCAATATTAATAATTGCTTTACTAGTGGTTAATTGAGGTTCTTTGTTTAGGATCTACAAATTATAATTTAGGGTCTGAGGCATCTGTCATTCCCTTCTGCAAAAAATTAAAGTACCTGGATGACAGTGTTGCTATTTTTCGGCTCCTGTTGAGACATACCAGTTTTGGGATCTTGGGGTTTGTAACGTGTTGATTTTATGTAGTTCAGTGTTTTCCTTGTTTAATTTGGTCCTTTGGAAATGACTGGAACCACGGATATCCTCTGGATGACCACCTTTCACCAGGGGAATCATCCATCAGCAATACAACCAACTTTGCCTACATTAAAAAGGAGCATCAGAACTCTACACCACCATTTTTCCACTTTATTTGTGCAATAATGTAAAAGCCCAAACCAACTCAGAATTATGCAAAATACCAGGACACGAAGCATCTAATTACATTCTGACTTTACTGCTTCCCAACACCCTAAGTCAAAATAGGTGAACTATGAAGAAGATGAAATAATTGCAATCATTATCACATAAAATGTGAATGTACATGAATTTAGAGTGGTTTGGGGCTAAAACTATCTTTAGCTTAGCCCCATGGTATAAAGTCCCATCTATGCTAATAATTCCAAACCCCAGATCAGGGGAGTGCAGCAGAGCTTGATGAAAGCCAGATCTGGGGGGGTGGCTGGAGTATTTAATTCCTACGGTGCATGAGAAACTACTCTGCCTAAGAAATAGAGGATATTATTCTGTTGATGTTACCTCTGGCAGAGCCTCATGGAAGACAAGTGGTAAAAAAGGAATCGACCTCTCAAGATCTGGGCCTTGCATTGCTGAATTTTCATGATTACATATTGAGATAGAGAACTTTAATTGCTTATATCTGTGCAAAATTTTATGAGATCTTCTACAACCCCGCAGTTCAATCCCTTTGCTCTTAAAATCACCTTCTTAAATAAATTTTTAAGAAAACCCTCAGCTCAGCTCTACTCTTTTATCCTTTATTTATGCTTTGTTTAAAATTATCAGAGTTGATAAGACTGAGCGGGGTTGCTTTGCACCTCTCAGAAGATGTGTGCACATTAAACATATTGGCAATATTTATTTATTCTGCCATCTGTCCCACCAGCTCCACATTCTCAACAGTTTGGCCTAGAGAGGGCCAAAAATCACCTGAGCATCATAAAGCGAGTCCCCGGCTGTCAGCAGAACACATTGAGCCCACAGCTGCTGTCCTGCTGCCTGATTTAATGAGGTTCCTAAAGTACGTGGACAAGGATTCGGGCTCTGGGTTGCCATGGCGATGGGAGCGGGCGCTGGGAGCGGGTGTGGGCAGCATCCCGATCAATAGGGATCAGCTCACGGCCCACCGGCCCCACAGACACACCGGAGCCCAGTCCTGCCACACGGACACGCCGGAGCGCAGAGGTGGGAGAGCAGCTCTGCCCTGACGGCCAGGCTGGGCTCAGGACATGGGCCCTGTCCAAGGGGCAACGCTCTGCACTGAGATAAAGGCCTTGCTTGTTGCTCTGTCTGTCTGTTCTCCTATTACTTTGCGGAGTGTTTTACATCCTCTGAACTCAGTCGCTTCCCTCAGGTCCTGGGAGAAACTCAGAATCATAGAACATGCTGAGTTGGAAGGGACCAAAAGGATCATTGTGTCCAACTTCTGGCTGTGCACAGGACACCCCAAGAATCCCACCTTGTAGCCTGAGAGTGTTGTCCAGACTTGGTCAATACTATGTTCCCAGGGGAAAAGGATCCTTCCATAGTTGACTCAGACATCATCACAGTCTACAATTTCCTCAGGAGGGGCAGAGAAGGGGCAGGCACTGATCTCTGCTCTGTGAGGATCAGGGACAGGACCCCAGGGAATGGCCTGGAGTTGTGTCAGGACAGGTTTAGGTTGAATACTAGAAAAAGGTTCTTTCCCCAGAGGGTAGTTGGGCACTGAACAGGCTCCCCAGGGCAGTGGGCACAGCACCAAGGCTGACAGAGCTCAAAGAACGTTTGGATGATCCTCTCAGGCACATGGTGTGACTCCAGAGATGGTCCTGTGCAGGGCTAAGGGTTGGACTTCATGATCCTTGTGGGGCCCTTCCAACTCAGCATCTTCTGTGGGTCTGTAATCTCTGAATATCCCATCACTTTTAGCAACATGTTACTACACTAGAGCAGTGTCTACATTTCTGAGGCCAAAGGCTTTTCTACTGAGTCAAGTCACCTGTTTTCAGAAGACAAATATTCGTGTGCAATCTGTGATTCATGTAGAAGTTTCCCCATCCAGAAAGAACTAAAAACCAGAGTAGCAATCCAGTGACAGGGAGAAAACACATCATGCCAAATAATTCAGGTTGGATTCCCACACACTTCCAGCACAGCACACAGGGACAGATTTTTTTCCACATATTTTAAAACCTAAAATATCATAAGTGTATTTTTCCTCCTGTGCAGAAGCACGAAAGGTGTAATTTTAGCTATTTACGTATATTCAGAGCACTCAAACCTGAACGAAAGGTTGACTCAGAAAATCATACCCCCCAAAAAACCCAACAGTTAAACATATTTTAATGATTAGTCCAAATCTCGGTTTACCACCTGATTGTCTTGCAAGATTATGCTTCAGATTCAAAGAAAGCAGCTTTTTACCCCTTTCCCACCCCTTCTGACAGGAGCATTCAGACATGATCTTCCAGCCTGGAATATTAAAGCCCAAACAGCACCATATCAGACGGATTAGTCACACATGTTTACATTGCATTGGCCATTCAACCCCGCTTGTCCTCAGATGGGTCTTAACAATACAGCAAACAGCTCCACTGTGTAACAACCAAAGTGGGTAATCAAGGCCTCTGAACAGAGAGGGAATTAAAGGGTTTGGAGTTTCTGTGAAAGCAGCAAAAGATGTCATCGAAGTTGGTGCAAACCAACATTTAAGGAAGCGTCACGTCAAGTCTCAAAAAATGGTATAAATATGTTGTAAGGGTAGATGAAAAAGCACAACAGCATGATGACAAAAATTTAATCCCTCTGGCATCACCTTAGAAAATAGGATCCACATTTCAAGCAAAGAAATTCCCCAAATAACCCATTCCTCTGCACATGAAAAAGCATCAATAATCAGACCTGTTCTCGACATGGCATTTTGTCACTCATCAAATCCTCTGTATCCCGAGAGTGAAAATAAATTCCAGAGGAATTCACCTAGGGAGTAGGAATTTCCTTCTGTAGAAACCAATACTGTCATTTTTGTACAGTTCTGAGCAGATGTTACAGCTTAAGCTGCTCACCAAAATGAAGCCTTCAGTGCTAAGCCCTCAGGAGCTTGTAGCACCAGCGATGCAGCATGGACAGCACGGCCCGTGTCACTCTGTGGGATGTCACTCATCCAGGTTGGGACTGGTGCAAACACAGCAAACAAACACAGCCCACACACTTCTGTTTACAGCTGGTGATTTATTTTATGACATTTACCACAGTGAGAGGTTTCATTGGGGATCTCTGACAGACTGGATTTCCTCATCAAAATAGTACCACCTTCAAACACAGAGTGTTTTTTTCCGAAATTTCCTTGTCCAGTTTTCCCGTGGCAGATAGAGAGGCCAATGGATATCTACAACTTGTAGGATTGTTTCAGTTAAAGGAATTTGTGAGCTTGAACCAGTTCAAAACATGCTGATCTACAAAACAAAATCCACAGCTCTGCTGGTGCTCACTGCCAGTCCTGGTCAGTCCTACCAGTTGTAGGAAGAGGACACTTAAGGGCAAAGGCACATGTAAAGTCTCTCCAGTGAGGAGTGAAGCATTTCAACCCTGCATCACAAAGACACATCTCATCTTGGCAACCTGTTCCTGGCAAGAGGCTACTTCTGGCATGACATTTCATTTAGTGCTTTTCAATCAGATTGGGTTTTATGGCATCTTTGTAACATCTTTGGCTTCCTTCGAGTCGTTGGAATGGATTAAGCTTGAAAAAAGAATCCACAGTTCACTTGGAAATGGAGCTGAGGGCTGGTAACATCTTACCCTGTGACCACATGGGCTTCAGTGTCTGGTCATGAAATGCTGCAGTTCATGCAAAACATCATCCCACTGTTTGCACAGAACCTGGCCCCACCAAGCAAAATCTAGACTAAAAGATCAGGACCAATCTCTGCACTTAACCAGATATTCATACTACTCCAACTGCCCAATTTAACAAAACTGTGTTTACTCTACCTGACAGCTGTGTAGTATTTCCATGATGGCCAATCCTCATTTAAACAAGAAATAAAACTAATGGCACTGACCTTGCCATTGCAAAGGCAAAAAAGTCTGTTATTGAACTTGGTTCAAGTTTCAGAACACACCTGAAGGAAAAGGTAGCACTAACAAAAACTGACTCAGCTGCCCAAGGGCAGGCAAATGAACAATTGCAATGTTGTCTGAGACATTCAGTTTACTACAGGAGCAGATGGATGGGTGGAAAAGCATCGACTGATCTTCTCATTGCTTTTCTATATGGCACTATGAGTCTTTCACCAGGAGCCTCTCACCTGGGTTGAACTTCTCAGACTGATCAGCCCAAGCATCCACTGGGATGGCAGCAGAAACTTCCTGTAAAGGGGAACTGGGATAAAGGAGGTAATCAAAGCCTTCCCTGAAAACCTAAGGCTGGCGTCTCCACTGCCACCACCAGACAAACTTGAAAGTGTAATCCTACTCAGTTATTTCTGCAGTGCTAATTTCCACACAAAGCATTTCTCTAAAGCTGAGAGGTCCAGAAAACTCTGGCTTGGGATTACTTTTTTTTTATTCCTATTTTACAAAATATACAGAAACTTTAAAATAAAATTTAAGTCTTTCAGATTGAGGTTGTTCTCACAATATACAGACTCCGGATTTGTTGTTGTAAGAGAGAGCTCGGTTCCATCTTCTGCACAAAGACACAATTCTGACTTCTCTCCCAGCTTGGATATTAAAAGTTAACTTCAAATCCCTTCATGAAATGGGTGTTTATTCTGGGAGTTTTTATGTGCAGTTTTTGGCATAGTGTGATTTGGTTTATACTTACTTTTCCCCACCATAGCTATAATCTGCTCTTTCAGGATAGTGAAGCGTTCTCTAATTGGCTTTTATTTTGCTTCATACACTCTTTGCACCTCATAACAGAGCTCTGAAGAGATCTCATTCTGCTGAAAAAGTTCCTGTGGAGGCTGTGCTTGCTATAAAGTACGATGGAATCAGTTAAGTGAGACGATTCTCCGAGCACACATCACCAACATCAGTCTCCACGAGCCTGTATCTCAGGGAAGCATCAGTCCATAATAAGTCCATATACAACAGGGAGTGATGCCATCAGAGCATGTCCTACTGAAACACTTGTTCTTATGAAGTCCATGAATATTGCTTTTAAGTGTAAAAAAAGTAATCTATTCTAGAAAGACACTTATGAACAGAAAGGGGGAAAGAATACTCTCTGATCTCTTGAGCCGAGCTCTCAAGACATCAATGACTATGCACTCATTTATAATCTCCACTAATTTATTGGCTGCCCTAGAGACACACTTTGATCTTTGGGAAGATCTACTGTATCTCTCTGCTTTGCAACAGGCAATAAAAACTGTAACCCCTTATAATAAAGTGGTCTAAATAATGTAGTCATAGCATCTAGCCCCCAATTCATCAAGGAAGATGCCACCTTCCACCCTACATTCATGGCATAAATATTCATCACCAGCGTGGGAAGGCTTGGCTGTGTACAACAAGTTTTGTAGGAGATGTCCTTTCTCTGCAAGCACATGTGCTGTGTGAAAGTCTATATAATTAATGCCAAGGATCAGTGCTACAAAAAACAAAACCAGAAAACTCAAATAAAACTCAGAAAAAAAGCAAGGCCCCAGAGCTGACAGACATTTTTTAATATTTTGGCCTAAATAATGAATAAGGCTCCTAAACAAACACTCTTAGGATTAGCCAAGATTATGAATGTTTCAATACTGTAAAACAATAAAAATCAAAGCCAAATATAACAGCATTATTTAGCATATGTTACAGATAGAGGAAGGATAATAAAGTAATTTGAAGAGCTAAAAGTCACCCATTATAGTTTCTGAATTTGTAGATCCTTTGTACAGCTATTGGGGCTGCAGGAAATCCCACGGGAAGCATTTTTCTTAATTGCGTATCTAAATTTCATTTTGCTGGAATAAAATGGATTAAATGTTTTCTGCACTTAGAGGGACGAGGCATAAAGCACTACCAAGAACCCCA